ATATTTCGATATTTCAATGTTTGGACTTTCCAATTTTTCGATTCTTCAATTTCTCGATTTTTCAAAATTTTGGTTTTTCAATTTTTAACGTTTCTAAATTTTCTATTTTTCGATTTCTCAGTTTCTCGATTAATCGATTTTTGATTTTCCAATTTTTCGATTTTTCCGATTTTTTGATTTTCCCATTTTTCGATTTTTCGTTTCTTCAATTTTTCGATGCTTTAAAATTTTCGATTTTTCTCAATTTCTCGATTAATCGATTTTGTAACTTTTCGACTTTTCGAGTTATCGACGTTTCGAGTTTTCGATTTTTGATTTTCCCATTTCTCGATTTTTCAACTTCTGGATTTTTCGATTTTTCAGGCTTCCAATTCTTCAATTTTTTAAATGTTCAGTTTTTCGATTTTTCAATTTTCCACTAATTCACTTTGGGGATTTTAAAATTTTTCGGTTCTTCAATAACTTGCTCCTCTATTTGTGGTTTATGAATCCGTATTGAATTTTTATCTTAGACATCGAGATTTTTGAAAAAAAAATCAAAATTGTAGACAGAATAATTTTCCAATTTTTCGGTACTTCAGTTTTGGGATTTTTCGTTTTCTTTTATTCTTCAATTTTTCGATTACTCAACGTTTCGATATTTCAATTTTTCGATTTTTCAATTTTTAATGTTTCTAAATTTTCTATTTTTCAACTTCTCAGTTTTTCGATTAATTGGTTTTTGATTTTCCGACTTTTCGATTTCTCGACGTTTCGATTTTTCCCATTTTTTGATTTTCTCATTTGTCGATTTGTCGACCTTTCAATGTTTCGTTTTCTTGACTTCACGATTTTTCTTTTCTTCAATTTTTCGATGCTTTAAAATCTTCCATTTTTCTCAATTTCTCGATTAATCGATTTTGTGACATTTCGACTTTTCGATTTATCGACATTTCGAATTTTCGATTTTTATTTTTCCCATTTCTCGATTTTTTAACTTCTGGATTTGTTCGATTTTTCAAGCTTACAATTCATCAATTTTTTAAATGTTCAGTTTTTCGATTTTTCAATTTTCCACTAATTCACTTTGGGGATTTTAAAATTTTTCGGTTCTTCAATAACTTTTCTTCTAACACTAACCAAATTTCATTTGATGATCCCCAAATTTTACAATAGTAAACGTTGTTTAAATTTTATAAAATCACTTACTCCTCCACTTGTGGTTTATGAATCCGTGTTGAGTTTTTATCTGAGACATTGAGATTTTTGAAAAAAAAATCAAGATTGTAGGTAGAATAATTTTTCGATTTTTCAATTTTTCGATTTTTTATTCTTCAATTTTTCGATTTTTCTACCTTTCAATGTTTCGTTTTCTCGACTTCACGATTTTTTATCTCTTCAATCTTCAGGTGCTTTAAAATTTTTGATTTTTCTCTATTTCTCGATTAATCGATTTTGTGACTTTTCGATTTATCGACGTTTCAAATTTTCGATTTTTGATTTTCCCATTTCTCGATTTTTCAACTTCTGGATTTCTTCGATTTTTCAGGCTTCCAATTCTTCAATGTTTTAAATGCTCAGGTTTTCGATTTTTCAATTTTTCACTAATTCAGTTTGGGGATTTTAAAATTTTTCGGTTCTTCAATTTTTCTTCTAACACTAACCAAATTTTATTTGATCATCCCCAAATTTTACAATAGTAAATGTTGTTTAAATTTTGTAAAATAACTTGCTCCTCTATTTGTGGTTTATATCCGTGTTGAATTTTTATCTTAGACATCGAGATTTTTGAAAAAAAAAAACAAAATTGTAGGCAGAATAATTTTCCAATTTTTCGATACTTCAGTTTTGGGATTTTTCGTTTTCTTTTGTTCTTCAATTTTTCGAATACTCAAGGTTTCGATATTTCAATTTTTCGATTTTTCAGTTTTTAACGTTTCTAAATTTTCTATTTTTCAACTTCTCAGTTTTTCGATTAATTGGTTTTTGATTTTTCGACTTTTAGATTTCTCGACGTTTCGATTTTTCCGATTTTTTGATTTTCCGATTTGTCGATTTGTCGACCTTTCAATGTTTCGTTTTCCCGACTTCACGATTTTTCATTTCTTCAATTTTTCGATGCTTTAAAATTTCCGATTTTTCGCAATTTCTCGATTAATCGATTTTGTGACTTTTCGACTTTTCAATTTATCGACGTTTCGAATTTTCGATTTTTGATTTTCCCATTTCTCGAGTTTTTAACTTCTGAATTTCTTCGATTTTTCAGGCTTCCAATTCTTCAATGTTTTAAATGTTCAGGTTTTCGATTTTTCAGTTTTTCTTCTAACACTAACCAAATTTTATTTGATCGTCCCCAAATTTAATAATAGTAAATGTTGTTTAAATTTTATAAAATAACTTACTCCTCTATTTGTGGTTTATGAATCCGTGTTGAATTTTTATCTTAGACATCGAGATTTTTGAAAAAAAAAAAAATCAAAATTGTAGACAGAATAATTTTCCAATTTTTCGATACTTCAGTTTTGGGATTTTTCGTTTTTTTTTTATTCTTCAATTTTTCGATTACTACTGAATGTTTCGATATCTCAATGTTTCGATTTTTCAATTTTTAACTTTTCTAAATTTTCTATTTTTCAACTTCTCAGTTTTTCGATTAATTGGTTTTTGATTTTCCGACTTTTCGATTTCTCGACGTTTCGATTTTTCCGATTTTTTGATTTTCCCATTTGTCGATTTGTCGACCTTTCAATGTTTCGTTTTCCCGACTTCACGATTTTTCATTTCTTCAAATTTTCGATGCTTTAAAATTATTCAATTTTTCTCAATTTCTCGTTTAATCGATTTTGTGACATTTCGACTTTTCGAATTTTCGATTTTTGATTTTCCCATTTCTCGAGTTTTTAACTTCTGGATTTCTTCGATTTTTCAGGCTTCCAATTCTTCAGTATTTTAAATGTTCAGATTTTCTATTTTTCAATTTTTCTTCTAACACTAACCAAATTTTCTTTGATCATCCCCAAATTTTACAATAGTAAATATTGTTTAAATTTTATAAAATAACTTACTCCTCTATTTGTGGTTTATGAATCCGTGTTGAATTTTTATCTTAGACATCGAGATTTTTGAAAAAAAAAATCAAAATTGTAGACAGAATAATTTTCCAATTTTTTGGTACTTCAGTTTTGGGATTTTTCGTTTTCTTTTATTCTTCAATTTTTCGATTACTCAACGTTTCGATATTTCAATTTTTCGATTTTTCAATTTTTAATGTTTCTAAATTTTCTATTTTTCAACTTCTCAGTTTTTCGATTAATTGGTTTTTGATTTTCCGACTTTTCGATTTCTCGACGTTTCGATTTTTCCCATTTTTTGATTTTCTCATTTGTCGATTTGTCGACCTTTCAATGTTTCGTTTTCTTGACTTCACGATTTTTCTTTTCTTCAATTTTTCGATACTTTAAAATTTTCGATTTTCTCAATTTCTCGATTAATCGTTTTTGTGACATTTCGACTTTTCGATTTATCGACATTTCGAATTTTCGATTTTTATTTTTCCCATTTTTCGATTTTTTAACTTCTGGATTTGTTCGATTTTTCAAGCTTCCAATTCTTCAATTTTTTAAATGTTCAGTTTTTCGATTTTTCAATTTTTAGTAATTCAATTTGGGGATTTTAAAATTTTTCGGTTCCTCAATTTTTCTTCTAACACTAACCAAATTTTATTTGATCATCCGCAAATTTTACAATAGTAAATGTTTAATTTTTATAAAATAACTTACTCCTCTATTTGTGGTTTATGAATCCGTTTTGAGTTTTTACCTGAGGCATCCAGTTTTTTGGAAAAAATCAAAATTGTCTAACATTTTATAATTCAACTTTCAAATTGCAAAATCGAATACTTTGAAATATCACAAAAGTTTTAAGTTTATCGAAAGCATAATAAAATGTATCATCTCACAATTTTATCGAATATTTAAATAACAATTAAATGTTAAAAAGTAATATAGTCCTGAACTTATAGTTTATGAATCCATGTTGAATTTTTATCCAAGACATCGAGATTTTTGAAAAAAAAAATTAATCAAGATTGTAGACAGAATAATTTTTCGATTTTTCAATTTTTCGACACTTCAGTTTTGGGATTTTTAATTTTTTTTTATTCTTCAATTTTTCGATACTCAATGTTTCGATATTTCAGTCTTTTTCAAATTTTGGATTCTTCAAATTTTCAATTTTTAACGTTTCTAAATTTTCTGTTTTTAGATTAATCGATTTTTGATTTTCCGACTTTTCGATTTTTCCTTTTCACGAATTGTTGACTTTTCGTTTTCTCGATTTCTCGATTAATCGATTTTGTGACTTTTCAAATTTTTGATTTTTTATTTTCCCATTTCTGGTTTTTCCATTTTTCGATTCTTCAATTTTTCTTCTAAAGCTAACCAAATTCATCTCCAAAATGTACGATAGTAAATATTATTCAAATTTTATAAAATAACGTACTTCTCTACTTCTATTTTATGAATCCGCATTCAGTTTTTACCATAGGCATCCAGATTTTTGTAAAAAAATCAAAACCGTATAACAACATTGTACAATTTAATTTTAAAATTGCAAAAAAAATTGTAAATCGTTAATAAAAATTTATCCGTTTACGACTCCTTTAAAAACTGATGACGTCATCTCAAAATTTTACCAAATTTAATAACTCCTATCGAAAATGTGCAAAATATGATGACTCTATACTTATGATTAACATTATATTCATATTTTTAGAACTGGTTATACAGAGTGACTCAAAAAATTAATAAATGGGTCAGTTTTTTGTTTTATTGTACTTCAGACGCGAGGAAAGTTCTGTGGAAATAACCTTCGACCAATTGTTTTGTGTGTAACCCCTTTGAGGGCCCTCGAACGTTTTTTTAACTCAGCCAATGCCTCATAAAAAATCCTAGTTTAATATTTTACTTCAACATTGACAAGCACTTTGAAACCACCCCCAATTAACGCACCCTTTTCCGCAGACATGGAAGAACACCACATGGGCGGCACCCCCAGCCTCTACACCTCCGGCCGCTCGACGTCGTCCAGCTCGAGCCCGGGGGTGGCCGGTTCGAGTCCGGCCCTGCTCGTCGTCCCCCAGCCCATCAACGCCACGAAGATGGGCGGCATGCAGAACGGCGGCCCCCAACCTAGGAAGTACCAGTGCAAAATGTGCCCGCAGGTGAGTCAGAAAAAACGCTCCCTCTGCCCCCGCGCCGCCGCCGCAGGCGATAGCCGAATCTCCGCGCGTTCACCTAACTACTTCCTTTGATTCTTCTTCAATCAGTGTGTGACGGCCTCGGGATAGGAATCTCGCCGTCTTGCCTCTGCGTCGCGCCCGCTTTCCGCCGCGGGTGCGAGGGAGACGCGCGACGGTGGTCGGATTATTAGGTAAGATCACAGGTAGACGGACCCTTTTGTGACCCCGCGCAGGTAAAAAATGGTCCATTTTAAAAAAGTTGACCGCGACCGAAGAGCGCTGGATCAGACGATCGAAAGTGATTCGGTTTTTTTGGGCGGAGGTATATGCGATGGGTTTTTTGCACGGGATGGGCTTTAAATCGATGGGCGAGGAAGTGGGTCATGGGGGACATGGACTCTTGAGCGCGGCGCAATTAGCGTTTTTGCGCTGTTTGTTTTCGGACGATTCTGGGTGGAGAGAAGAGGCCCACGAGTGGCGCGCTGTGGGATGAGTGGGTTAGCACCTGGCCGAGATTCCGATAAGGAATTTGAGGAAGCGGCGGCGAGCGATCGAAGATTGGCGCTTTCGGGTTTTGCTCTTGTTGCTTTCGAAATTATGCGGGCAGATTCGATTTTGTGCAACTTTACGACATGACTTCTTCACACAGATTGGTCCTTTTTTTGGCACTCAAGATGTTAATGTAGCTTGTTTAAAGTTTACGATATCATTTATACGGTATTTGAAAAAACTAAATAGCAAAAACTAAAGTAAAACCTAGTGGCCGCCTTACCTATCCTCCGCGTTGCATATTTGCAACAAGGATCTATAGCGCATCAAAAAAACTTTAAAAAAAGCACCAATCGAATAATTATTATTCTAATTTATTAAAAAATTATCGCTCACAGCCAAATTCTTCGTTTCCACAGCTTATAAAAAGTACCTGTCCAACATTGAGTCGTGATTCTAAAAAAGTTGATCTTGAATAAATATTCAAAACTGCAGAGTTTACACTCGTATTCTAGGTCTAATAAAATTCAACAATCAAAAATTATAAAACTGTTGACACATTTGATTAGTATAATCGGCGAGGCGCATTTCTAGAAAATTCTACATTTGTTTGTGGAGAGGTGTATTAACAAGTTACCAAGCTTTGGTCAGTACGTAGCAGAAAGTATTGACAACATGAGTCAAGTAGATGTGATTTTTACAGATTTCCAGAAGGCGTTTGACCAAATGTACTATTATATTTTATTAGATATCTTAAATTACTTTGTTTGGGTCATACTTACTTGATAGACAACAAATTTTCATAGGTCGTAATTTTCCTTCAAATCCGTTATTTCCGTCATCCGGCGTACCGCAGGAGTCCAGTCTCGCACCTTTGCTGTTTCCATTATATCAACGACATCACGAAATGAATATAATGTATATGCAATGTTTAAGTAGACGCTAAGTTTAAACATTCTAAAATGTATGGTTAGGTCATTCAGACAAAATTTTTCCTGCCCCTTAAATACAATCGAACAAATCCAGTTTTTTCAAAAAAATTTTAAAATTTAATTGTGTAAAATTTTATTCATTGAATGATTTAATAATGAAAAGTAAAAAATATAGATAATAGAAGTCACAACTAAAAAAAATACTAAGTAAGGGCGAAATCGACCATTTGTATAACTGCGAGAAATCGGTTGTAATAAACCACGTGGAAAATATTGTACAGAAAAAAATTCTAAAATAATTATGAATTAAAAATCTTGGAGGATTCATAAACCACGACATCAAATTGTTGGACGGGGTGAATACACACATTTTGGTTAGCGGTTCATTATTTGCACGATACTCCTAAAATACATGTAAAATTTGACGACAATCGGTCCAGTAGTTTCGGAGATGTTCTGTCTGATAAAAATCGACACGGACAACACAGATGGGAACTGGAGACCACTTTTTCGTAGTCTAGGGGTCATAAAACGTCGAGAAAACATTAAAGTAGCCAGGCGCCAGATGTACTTCTATGCTTTCTGCCATAAATTAATAATTATTTGTGGTTATTAATTATATCCAATATACTTCAAAATGAAAATTACTAGTATGAATTCCAAATTTAATTTAAAAAATGGGTCGAAATTTATTTCGCCAGAACTTCCCTCGCTTCTGAAATACAGTCCAACTTTCTGAAATACTCCTTTTCTGAAAAATTATAAAATTTGATTTGGCGGAACTTCCTCTATGGAGGAAAAATAATATAGAAGGTCCTAGTCACAGTACAATAGAAAAAAAGTTTCACCTTCTTAAAAAAAGACACTTGGGAGCAACGAGAAGATTTAATATTCTTAAAAAAAAAAACTCTTGGGACCCCCGAGAAGGTTTTACATTTTTAAGAGACAGTTGGGAGCCCGAGAAGGTTTCACATTAAAAACAAGACAATTGGGGCCCCCGAGAAGGTTTCACATTCTTAAAAAAGACAATTGGGACCCCTGAGAAGGTTTCACATTCTTAAAAAAAGATAGTTGGGACCCCCGAGAAGGTTTCACATTAAAAAAAAGACATTTGGCGCCCCCGAGAAGGTTTCACATTCTTAAAAAAGACAATTGGGACCCCCGAGAAGGTTTCACATTAAAAAAAAGACATTTGGCGCCCCCGAGAAGGTTTTACATTTTTAAAAAAGACATTTGGGACCCCCGAGAAGGTTTAACATTAAAAAAAAGACATTTGGGGCTCCCGAGAAGGTTTCACATTCTTAAAAAAATACGTTTGGGGCCCCCGAGAAGGTTTTAAATTTTTAAAAAAGACAGTTAGGACCTCCGAGAAGATTTGACATTAAAAAAAAACATTTGGCGCCCCCGAGAAGGTTTTACATTAAAAAAAAACAATTGGGACCCCTGAGAAGGTTTTACATGTTCTAAAAAGGACAGTTGGGACCTCCGGGCAGGTTTTACATTTTTAAAAAAGACACAATTGGGACCCGCGAGATGGTTTCACATTAAAAAAAAAGACATTTGACGCCCCCGAGAAGGTTTTACATTTTTAAAAAAGAGAGTCGAAACCTACGACAAGGTTTCACGTTAAAAAAAAGACATTTGGGGCCCCGTAGAAGGCTCTACATTTTTAAAAAAGACAGTTGGGACCCCCGAGAAAATTCCACATTCTAAAAATAAAACATTTGGCGCCCCCGAGAAGGTTTCACATTCTTAAAAAAACGATTGGGACCCCCGAGAAGGTTTCACATTCTTAAAAAAAAGACAGTTGGGCCCCCGAGAAGGTTTCACATTAAAAAAAGACATTTGCCGCCCCCGAGAAGGTTTCACATTCTTAAAAAAATAAGTTTGGGGCCCCCGAGAAGATTTTACATTTTTAAAAACGACATTTGGGACCCCCAAAAAGATTTAACATTAAAAAAAAGACATTTGGGGCTCCCGAGAAGGTTTCACATTCTTAAAAAAATACGTTTGGGGCCCCCGAGAAGGTTTTACATTTTTAAAAAAGACAGTTAGGACCTCCGAGATTTGACTTTAAAAAAAAGTCATTTGGCGCCCCCGAGAAGGTTTTACGTTAAAAAAACCAATTGGGACCTCCGAGAAGGTTTTACATTAAAAAAAAACAATTGGGACCTCCGAGAAGGTTCTAAAAAGGACAGTTGGGACCTCCGGGCAGGTTTTACATTTTTAAAAAAGATACAATTGGGACCCGCGAGAGGGTTTCACATTAAAAAAAAAAGACATTTGACGCCCCCGAGAAGGTTTTACATTTTTAAAAAAGAGAGTTGAAACCTACGACAAGGTTTCACGTTAAAAAAAGACATTTGGGGCCCCGTAGAAAGCTCTACATTTTTAAAAACGACAGTTGGGACCCCCGAAAAAATTCCATATTCAAAAAATAAAACATTTGGCGCCCCCGAGAAGGTTTTACATTTTTAAAAAGCACAGTTGGGACCTCCGAGAAATTTTCACATTAAAAAAAACAGACATTTTTTGAAATGACGTCATCAAATAGTCGGTGGGAATGATTATCAAAATTTTGGTTAGCATTTAATCATCTACATGATAGGTATTTCTAATATACCTACATACAAAATTTTACAATAATAGGTCCAGCAGTTTCGGAGATTACGTGTCTGATAAAAGTGGATACAGACACCAGACAGACAGACAGACAGACGGAAACGGGAGGCTACTTTTTTCGTACTCTAGGGGTCATGAAACGTCGATAAAATATAAAAGTTGCCATTCGTCTGATAGACTCGATTACTATACTTCCTTAGCTTACGCTCGGAAAGTAAAAATTAGTTTAAAGTTATTTAGACAGAACTTCGCTCGCCCCTGAAAAATCATAAAATTTGATTTTAGGAAATTTTCTTTTCTACATGATAAAACCTATAAGTTAAAAATATATCTATTGATAATACCAGGCACCGTCAAATAAAAAATCGATCTAAGGTTGCTTAGAACTTCTCTCTCTCCTGAAGCGCAGTCGAACAAATAGTTTCTTTGAAAAAGTATACATAAAATTTTACTTTGCGAATTTTATTTCTTGTTATAACTTCTCGGCAGTCCGCATATGTATTATCAATACATGCTTAACTTCCACTGTTTATTATACATTGCAAAAGTTCGACGATTAAGCACGTACAAAATTCACGTCGGCAAAAGAAAATAAAACGAAAGGTTAAGGCTTTATTTCTAGTGAGTTTTATTGGAAAATGTTCCCAGCAACATTTCGATTAAAGAGTGGTGTTTACATAATAATAAAAAAATAAACAAAATCGAGGTGGATTCATAAATTACAACTAAAGGAGTACATATTTCATAAAATTTAAGTGGTGTTCACTAGGAAGGTTTAAGAGTGACGTCATTGCCACCTATTTTTTGATGCTCTGAGGGCCATGAACCATCGAGAAAACATGAAAGTAGCCATTACTGAAAAGTAATTCCCTAATAGTTTTCGTAACCGATGGAAAATTTAGTTGGCACTTTTAATTTAGAGCAAGTAATTCCTCGTTA